AAGTAGTCTATGCTTTTTGATTTATTTCTTGACATAAAATTCTATAAAGTGAAAACTTATCTATAGACAGGAAGTAGATTTGGCACTTTCTGGGATTGTGAGAAATGGGCACATGGGTGAGGGTCAGATTTACAAAGGAATGTGGGGAATTTGGGGGTGTGAAGAATATGTTTACTACACTGATTGTGATATGGTTTCACAGATACAGATATACACATATGTATAATACATGTATATACATATATATGTATACATGTATAGGTATATACATGTACTTACATATACAAGTATATATACATATATACTCATATATACCTATCTACATGTATACATGTAGATAGGTATATGTGAGTATGTATGCATATATATTACCAAATTGTACTATTAAAAGTTTGCTCTAGTTAATTATACCTTAATAAAAATGTTGGGAAAAAGGCATTGTGCCAACTGGAAAAGCCATCGATGAAAGGCTTCAAGCTGAGTTACTTCACCTGTGTGTCTCTTGGGTCAAGTCCTTGCTACTGGGAAGGAAAGAAGGGGGGTGCTTGTCCAAGGCCACAGGTTGGGGGAGACTGTCTGTGAAGGGACAAGGGGATATTTTAAAACATGGGAAACCTTTGATTTTGGTGTTACTTGTGTGACTATATCTATTTGTCAAAAATAATCAGATGCCAAATTGTTCCATGTGTCATTTGTAAATCAACAAACTTTACTAAACAGAGACTGAAAACATCCACAGCTGCTCCAATGATTGATATATGTGAGAAGAATTTAGGCTGCTTGGGGACAGGTTCAGGGGGATATCACATGACCTGGGCTGTGGTTCACAGTCCCCAGGGTGAGGACTACACAGATCTGCAGGTTCCGGGGGTGGGGTGGGGGGTGCTTACCTGGACCATGCAAACCTGCCTTCCTCAGGTGCTCAGCCTGCACAAGTGTGTTTGGCATCCTGCACGGGAGCCTTTGTTGGGATAAATGAGGAAAGAAACAGCCATCCTAAATCCCTGGTGCTGGGCTGCAAGTGTGGTTCAACTTTGGGTCTTCCTGCCATAAAGAGTCTGGGAAGATTGAACAACCCACTTCCTCCTTTGGATCTCAGTTTTACCATCTATAAATATGAAGAGGATGGGTGAGGTCGACTCTAAGGACCCCTGAGACCAGCTGGTCCTTCGAGTCAGTAGAAATCTGGGGGCTCGGAATTGTGAGACTCACAAGCAGCATTACCACCTGCCGTGGGCACTGTGGCTGCCATAGGCAGTGCTCACCAGCAGAGCACGCGGAAGGTGGAGAACTGACCATTGTCTAAATACACAATCTGAGAGTGGGAGGGCCTCTTGAAGCGTCCCCAAGCTTCCCATGAAACAGAATGGCCACAGGTGTCAGCAACATGCTGAGCAGGGCAGGAGGACCCAGAGCTGACGAGCCCAGGAGTCTAGGGGGTGGCTCCCCCTGGCACACTCCTGGAAGCAGGGGTTTAGTTGCCCAGCAGAAGACGAGGAGACCCACAGGGTCACCCTCCACTCAAGGGAAGAGCTGTGGACGCAGCCACTCAGCTGCCTTCCCCAGAAGACCACGTTGAACCTTGGAGATGCTGCTCACTTGATGTCCTCTGCCTACAGAACTCCCCATGGCTCAGCTAAGCAACAACAGATGCAGAGACCATTGCAACTCTCACATCATCTCTGTTGGCAGAGAGGGCATGGGGGCACTTCAAGTCAAAATATACCCAAACTGGCTGACGAAGACACGACTTGTCTGGGGGAAAATTTCACAACAGCTATACATATGAATGACTTAAATCCACCCCTAGATGTCACATTCAGTCCTGTATAGAGAGGGCTCCACTCTCAGTTCCTTTTCTAGGGGTGACAATAGCCATTTCCACTTCATATGGAAAGAAGACGTCCATCTGCCTACGAGAGAGAGGCTCCATTTTAAAAAGTTTCCCAGTTTCAAAAGAACCAAGGAAGGGGAGGGAGTAAGTGACAATGACTGTCACCCCCAGACATTTCCATGTCAATCAAACCTCACTTCTATGTACAAACAGAAGCAAAGTCTTCAACATGGCTCAGCCAACCAAAGCTCACAGCTGTGGCTTTCTCCTTCCAATCACACCTGTGAGAAAACAGTAAGGGTGACAGCCAGTAGGGTGAATGGAGGGGGACATGCCCTGCATTGGCACCCAAGCTGGGCAGGAACGTGTCTTCCTCCCTCTACGTATTTGCCATGAGGACCAGCAGTTACAGACATGGCCACAACCACGGGGAGATAGACCTACAAAACAAAAAGGGAAAAGCAAGTCTCAGAGGAAAACATACTTGACAGTTGTCACAGGAGGCAAACCATTTTATTTCTCCATCTTATGAACAATCAGTTCATCTAGAGATGGAACTAAACTGCCAATAAGACCCACCCTCCTCGCTCATTTTTGATAGGAAGTTAGTCTCCCTTGTTTACAACTTCTCTCTGCTCTCTCTTGTTCCCCTAATGTTAGTAAAAATTCAAGATGCCCTTAAGATACAGCTCATGAAGAACCCTAGTGTCCAGAAAAGAGAGAAAAAAGCAAAGAAATTTGCACTTGGGGTCCATTTATACAATGCATTTTATAGGAGTCTCACTACACCATGGGGCCTCCTCAGCTCCAACCCACAAATTGGGATGTTTACGAATGTGTGGCTTCCAGAAATGGTGAAAAATGAAGTAAATTGTACTTAATGCTGAGACTTATACAGCCATTCCCATCTTTGCTACGAATTACTGTTAAAAAATGTTTCTCAGAGCAACATCGACCACCAAATCCTATGGGAAGTAGAGATGCAGGGATGCTGAATGACACTAATCCATCGATACCAGCACTCAAGTGCACCATTCCCAAGGGCCAACAAAAGAAAGAATGATATGCCTTCAACTTCTGCACACACGCCTCTGCCGAAGTCCAGCTGCAGCAAAATAATTGGGGGGTGAAGAGGAACTTATGTAGATCGATACAGCAGGAGTGGGAGCCATTTATTGTAGGACAGGAGGGGTATATATACATTCCACACAGCTTATCTTAATTAACATAAACTAGATACAGCAGTCAACCAATAAGGAATCTCCACACTTAATGGCTCCCTGGCTCCACCTCACAAACCACTCCCCCTGGCAAAATGCCAGGTGCCATCCTGACTTTTTTACAGACTCTATAACACCCCTCAATTTCCAAACAGCTGTTTCATTCATCAGGAACAGTTAAAGGGCTTCTAAAAAGTAGTCTTAACTGAGACCCAGGGAGTTCATTATTTTGAAGGGAAAGTATAGAGGAGAGAAAATATAGAGATTGCAGTACCCGTCAGGCTCAGTCCTCGACCTGTGTGACCTTGTACAAGTCACTCTGATCCTCTGTGGCCTCATATCTAAAGTTCCTGCTGTGCTCTGGTAACAAAACCAAAGGGCCCCAGAGTTGCCTGGGCTGGAC